AAGTTATAATAATTGCACACGGACGCCTATAAATGCGTATTGATTATAAAATTATGAGCAACAAAAAATACTTACTTTAATGTCAATCTACTTGAAAATAGCTCTTTAAGTCTTCGGCTAATTACCTTGTTTAAATGTTTTAATTTAAATTTCCAGTTTATTGAACCAACCAGAGTAACATCTCACACAGCCACTTGTTTAGACAACTTTTTTTCTGAGTTGGATGCAATTGAAAAGTCAGTCTTTAGTGATATTGCTTCCGATCATCTGGGCTTAAAGACAACTTACAGTTTCAATGTCAGTACTGAGCCGAACATAATAGAGTATAGACCTATAACAAATGAGCGTGTTAATAATTTTAAAAATAATATTAGCGATAAACTTCCTTTGATGCCTTGGACGCATGATGATTCGGATATTTAGTACAAAAAACTTTTTGATTTAATAAATAATGAATATCAAAATACATTCAGACCGAAAACCATTAAATGTACACAGAGGTTGCAGTTCTGTGACTGGGCGACAAGTGGTATTTATAAGAGTAGAACAAGGCAATGAGCTTTATAGAATCTAAGAATATAACAAGGATCCTGAGTTTATTAACTATGTTAGAAAATATTCCAAATTGTTTAAAAGCTTAGGTAATAATGCAAAGTCAAATTTTATTAGGGATAAAATTCAAAAATAATAAAATAAAGACCACTTGGGATGTCATGAAGCGCGAAAGTGGTAAGTGTAAGCCCCGTGAAAATAGCATGGTTCTTACAATCAATAATAATCTCGTAAAATCGAAACATGAAGTCGCAGATATTTTCGATAAATTCTTTATGATCATACCAGTAGAAACTACTTCCAACTTGGACTCGTCGCCTGAAACTGCTACAGCTCTGTTACAAAAACATGTACCTCCGTGTGGTTTATTATTTAATTTAAAGCATGTTTGTTTTAAAATAATTAAAGTTTTCCATTCATTGAAAATGAAAAATGCATCTGATTTATGGGGTATATCTGTCAAAGTCATAAAGAATATTATACATTACAATATAGCCCCTTACTTAGCTGATATTTGTAATTCATGTATAGATCCGGGAGTATTCCCTGATCTTATGAAATTCAGTAAAATTATACCTTAATTTTAGCCTGAAAATTGTAAAGATCCTAGCAACTATAGGCCAATATCTATATTACCAGCATTGAGTAAAATCTTTGTAAAAATAATGTTAGAACAATTGTTGACTCATTTTAATATTAATAAACTTTTACACAGAGCGCAGTATGGTTTCACTAAAAACCGTTCCACAACTGATGCTGGTGCCACTATGTTGAAATATATATTTAATGCTTGAGAAAAGTCGCAGGATACTCTTAGAATTTTCTGCGATTTATCTAAAGCCTTTAATTGCGCTAATCATCAAACTTTGTTACAGAAATTAAATCATTACGGCATAACATATCTAACAGAGAGGACACAAACAGTTGATATTAACGGTATAAAATCAACCGGATCTCATGTGAAAATAGGCGTTCCTCAAGGTTCAATTTAAGGTCCATTTCTTTTTTTAAATTACATTAATGATTTAGCTTTCTTTGTGGTAAATTTTTGTGATATTGTTTTGTTTGCAGATGACACCTCGCTAATTTTTAACGTTGACAGGTGTAAAACAAATTATGACGATGTAAACAATGCACTTTCCAAGGTACTTCACTGGTTCTGTACTAATAATCTTAAACTTAATGCGAAAAAAACTAAATGTGTGAAATTTACTTTGCTGAATGTAAAGCATGCTGAAAGGGGGAATATAATTCTAAACGGTGAAAAACTAATTTTAGTCGATACAACCGTTTTCTTAGGTGTAACACTAAACAACAAACTTCAATGGAACCCTCACATTACAACACTGGCCGGTAAACTTAGTTCTGCTGCTTATGCAATTTATAAAATAAGAAGGCTTACAGATGTCGACACTGCTAGGATAATATACTTTACCTACTTTCACAGCATAATGTCGTATGCCATTCTGTTGTGGGGCACGGCCGCTGACATTGAACCAGTTTTTATTCTTCAAAAACGAGCTATAAGAGCTATTTATCGCTTGGGATCTCGAACTTCTCTTAGGGATACATTTAAAGAAATAGGTATAATGACTGTTGCCTCCAAATAAATAATTGATTTAGCTTTTTATAAGTTTAAAGTGTGTATAAAAACATGTCTCCTTAAAAAAGTATACTTCACTATACTTTGAAAGATTTCATGAATGGTAAGGCACCTTGGGCTTAATATAAAAGACTAAGTTGTATTACTTTGCTAATTTGGTTGAAAATTGTTTAATCGCCACTTCTTAATTTAAAAATAGTACCTAGCTATACTTAACTTTTATTAATTAATAATATTAATGTGATGAAAGTTGACATCAAACGTTTTCAGTTTTTGATGTCAACTTTCAATTGACGACTCTGTATGAAACAAAACAGGGAGAAAAAAATAGCCCTTACTGAGTTTCTTGCTGGTTCTTCTCAGTACACCCGCCGTAGATTTACGAACCGATGGCGTAGCGTTTGACTTTCACAAGAGCTTGTAACAGCCTAGACTGAATAAATGAGTTTGAGTTTCGTGTCAATGTGAGCATTATTACTTATGCTTCTCCCACACGCGCGACGAAGCTTTGGTACTAAACGCGCTAAAATTAGCGTACGAAATTTGAATTGGTTCCATTGTAAGTAAGCTCCTTCAGTTGCACATACAAATTTAATGTCTTCCACAAAATCTTTTATGCGTGTCAAAAATCGCCAGTCAAACTATCATCGTCTAGCGTTTATAGATACGCAGCCCGATAATAGGGTTGACGACGGGGTAAAGTAAGCGATATTCTGTTAAGTTCGTCAGAGGTTAAAATAATAATGGACACGTATTTTTTCTTTGGTTGATTGACAACCAAAAAAATTACAAATATAAAGCGAGTCAAAGTTTGGGAGTGGGGGCTCGTGACGTTACTTTTAAGTCAAAGTTATACCAAAAATATATGTCTGTGCCGTTTTGATTATGTGAAAAAAGAGAAAATACGTGTCCAATACTTTTTGATAATCTACCTGTAGTGCTATTCAGTAAAATTTTATTTCATCCAAATTTAATCCGCGCATGAAAATTTTAAAGAATAGCATTACTGATAGACGAAGAAAAAAAAGGTCGTTCCTCATATATATTTATTACGTTAGAATTAATTAAAAATTTCAACGCAAAGTTTAGCGCATTTAGTACCAATACCATCCGAAGCTTCGTCGCGCAGGTGTGAGAGAAGCATTATAGGTAGATAGTAGATAGGTTTATAATGGCGATGGATCAAAAGCAAAACGTTCGAAAAATAGTAATATATATTTTGTGTTATAAATTCACACAACTCTTTCCCTACCATAAACATAAAATATATTCTAATAACTATGTCCTCAGCTATATTTTGTTCGTCTATTCACTTTGACGAACCAATTGTGAGCGAGTTTCTGGCTCGAATTTGTGGGAGCTTTTTTCCGAGAATGCTCCTAATAGAACGTAATTATCAGTGTTGTTGGTGAATTGTTAAGTCCTATATAAAGTTTCTCGTTATGGCTGATTTTCTCTGAAAATGTTGTTTGTTTGTAATACACTATAATGATAATGCGAACTTCTCTTGAAGCTAATTTCAAATACTCAGATCCCGAGAAAGCCTATTTAAAATCTGGTAATTGGACGTAGACGTATTGCTTACACAATATAATTGGACGTAGACCCAAGGGCATGGTTAACCGAAAATTTTAATAAAATGAACAAATTTCAGTCAGGCGCGCGTCGGACACGCAGATGAACGTGTTTTTACCACCTTACAAGATTATTGATACGTAATGCAGCCCTTGGTATTCTTTGGGGATTTGGGAAAAATTACGTTCCATAGTGCTAAGGGTTCCGTTGCCTGTAGGTTTCACAGATACTGTTGAGGTCGAGAAAAGAATGTAAAAACAGTCTCGCATGTACATATAATAATATAATGAGTAAAAAACTTGCAAACGGAGAGTATAAAAAATTCAAAGGAAAAAAAAATATTTTTAAGTTTCCTAAAAAGAATAAAATAAAATTTTCCTTTAAAATTTTTACTTGAAACTATAACAATCTATGGATTGTGTTATGACGTTATAAGATGATAGTAAACATTTTAAGGGAAAAAATATTTTATTATTTGAAGCTTATTAAATAAGACCTTAATTTTTTCAGATATTTCCTTTTAATTTATATTTTACTTTTTATTTGTCGCTGGACATAATCGAGGACTTCGAAAACCCATATTCTTAGCAAGCCCTTTCATTTGATAGTCATATTGTAGGAGTGTATGGATTTAAAATGATGTCACACAGCTAACTACGCAGTGTTATTCAAACAAATGTGTGCTTCTTTGATTATTAAAAAATCAAAGGTGTACTTATACACAATTTCATAGGCAGAATTTCAAAGAATATTTCACCCGAATAAACATTTATTGACATATTGCAAGTTAAATAAAAGCTTTTTTAATAAAATGTCCAGTATTCATGGTCAAACAAAGATACTCGTATTCATTCGAACTAGTCCTGTTAGTTGTTGACCCAAAGGGAGCCTTTATTTCTAAAGACTGAGAATTCCTAAGAAATAAAATGAATATAAACTATTTGCAAATTGAATAAAACTACTTCTAACGGGTTAATGCACGAACTTTATTTATTTATTGACGTTTTGATCGAAATAAATAAAGTTCGTGCATTAACCCAATAAAACTAGTTTTATTTAATGAGTGATGTGCGTGAAAACCTAATAAACAAATATTTTCAAATTGACTTATAAAAAGGTGTCTTGTACCCTTATTGTCGTTAAAATATTTTCCATAGGGTTCTCACTGGGTTTGGGTGTAGAACTCTAAAATGGGTATTAGAACACCCATAAAATACTCAATTATATAAAGCGCCACATAAATACTGTGTATCCATACAGAGCAAAATGCGTGGTGTTCATGGCCAAACAACGTCTACAAATACTATTGTAATATGTGATGATGTCATTTTGTGCGTTGCACCGAAATTATGTGGTTGATGACATCAACAACTTAGTTTGTGTTACACAAACTTGTGACTAATTCTGTACGTTCAGTGAAAAGTGATATAACTCGAATATATAAATTTTTGGGAAATCGCATTTAAAGTAAAGAAAATCCTGCTAAATGGCTATTGGAGATGACGCGGTGAATTTCTTTTTTTGGTGATAGATAACATTAGGAATAATCAGGTAGTGTACCAGTTTCAGAAATAATGTATGTAGTTTCTTTTAAATTAAATAACCCAGTTATATCACTTAGCATGACACTTTGTATTAGTGTATAGTGATATAATGGAACTTTAATCATTTTCACCACACTGAACTGACCTCAGACTAACAAGTGTAAAGTGATACATCTTATGTTATTTCTGTAGATAGGTTTTGTTTTTTCACTTTTAAAAAATACTTGTAAAACAAACAATACTAATTACTATCTGAGGAATCACTATTTCCGGTTATTTTAGGGCTAATTGTCTGAATATGGTCACTTAATTCGATATACACCGATTATGTGGTAAAAAAACTGTATAAACTGATCTAATTGACTTTTATAACGATCTAAGTATCCTTAACAATTATGTGTAAAGTTATATAAGTGATGATTCTAAACGAATTAAGCTACAATTGAGACTGAAATCTAACCATCTTATTAATAACCACAAAATATAACACGGATAATATTGGACTAAATCACTGAAATTACCTCTTATCCTGAGGTAGGACAACAACAGTTTTACATCAACTACTTTATAATAGAGACATAGAAAGTTTGTTATCCAATTTAACTATAGCGGGTACAATAGAGACATTCCATAGCATTAAATTTTCGTCTTATCCATGCTTATCTTAAGACCCACTTTTCGGGGAACAATTCAGATCTTCCAAGGTCATCGGCAAAGCAGAGGTGTGTAAGGTACTCGCCATTGATTGTAATGCCACGGCCATTCCAAACGAGAAGCTTGAAAATATCATCCAATGCAGCAGAAAACAGTTTTGGAGATATAACATAACCCTGTCTTACGCTTCTCTGCAGTTGGATAGGATTGCAGCTCTGGTTCTGAAATCGGACTGACATACTGTTGTTTTCGTAAAGGTACCTACCTCTACATTATTTTTAGTCTACTTGGCACTATAAAAGAGACTGCAGCATCGTGCAGGTTTGATTGTATCAAAAGCTTTCTCATGGTCCACAAACGTCCGGCAGAATGTACTCCTCAGTTTCCAGTGGTCTATGGTATGGAAGCGTTTTCGGAAACCAGCTTGTTCAGAAGTCGTCAAACCTGAGAGCGAAACAATTAATAATAACTGTCAAAAACAACTTATAAATATGGTTCAGAAGTGAGATTAGTCTTCAATATTGTATTATCCCTTTTTGAAGAATATAATAACCTCAATTCTGCCTCATGATGATGGAATCGAAAAGCTTCTGGATGATTTTAATATCGGCTTTCCGCCCTTTCCAAGAAGTTCTGTAGTGATTCTATCATCGCCCAGCACCATGTTGTTTTTAAGCTGTTTGAGAGCCATATTTATCTCTTACAAGTTAAATTCCGCAATAGTATAGTGTTACGTAAAATTGGCTCTAGGATCTTTAGACTTGCTTTCAATAGGTGGTTGTGTTGAGTATATCTACCGATACTCATCTCAATCTCCCTCTGGATTTCAGCCTCATTCGAAATGATCCTACTGTGTTTAGTTTTCAACTTCGTCATTTGACTTTGCCCAATGGACAGATTTCTTGCAAACACTTTAAAGCCCTTGTTTCGCTCTATAGATTTTTCAATATGATTAGTATGAAATTGGCGGTGGTCCCTTGCCAAAGACTTAGAAATCTGCTTATTAAGAAACCAATATTGACTTGCATCGGTTCTGTAACCTCATTAATTTCATTTCAATATTCCATAAGTTGGAGTGTCTCGTTGGAAAGGTTTTTAATTCTGGTAAGACATTTTTAATACGTGCAGTATCCCTCACCATTTTGTTGAGATCGTCCATATCTAGGCTGGTTTCAGGGGATCCGAAGCGGTTTTGGAGTTCAAGTTAAAAGCTCTCGGGGTTTTCAAATTGGGTGGGTGTTGGGTGGGGCGTAGACCTTATCATTCGAGATCTTTCAAGTAAAATGCTCATATCCGATGTGCCTCTTACCAAACGGTGATCGCATCCCGTTTTGAAGGCATTGATTACAGAAACATCATTGAATTTGTGCTTTTTCATTGATGTAGTAAGTTCAATCACATTTTTGAGTTTACCATTCGAACTCATCCAGGTCCATTTACGATTTTGGGACTTCCTGAAGAAGGAGTAATAATAATAATAATGCGATTTTGAAATATTGTTGATCTGAGTAACTTATATCGTTTTTCACCTATACAAACCTTATTGTGGTTAATGATATAAGTCTAAATGGATCATTATACACAAAATATTTTTTTTTCAACCTTTGTGCTGTAAATTAAATTATATTCTTTTTCACCAATCTAAAAATATTAAGTTTTTTTTTGTGTATATTAATATAAGTCTTCTTGTAATATTAAAGACAAATTCAGTCATGTAAAAAGTAGTAACACATGATTGACCTTTTGTCACAATAAAAAAAAATTGAAACATCCCAGTTCACTATGTTTAAAGTAGACACGTATCAATATACACGAAAAAATCTCAATAATGTGGGTTCCCAGAACCTTACTTATATAATTTAGCACAAAATTATTTTCTTTTTTATACGGCGTAGAAACATTCCGATTATACACAAAAATAGCTAATTTTTCGGAGATTCATAATCTATATCTATCTATACTTATAATAAATCTGTAGAGAGGTCAATTCTGTACATGAAATATATTTTCAAAATAACTATCAGGGGGTGATTAGTGATCGATACTGATGCCAAAAATGCAATCAGTAAAATTTTTGTCTGTCTGTCTGTCTGTCTGTGTGTTTGTTCCTTATAGAAACAAAAACTACTCGACGGATTTTAACGAAACTTGGTACAATTATTCTTCATACTCCTGGGCAGGTTATAGTATACTTTTCATCACGCTACAATCAATAGGAGCAGAGTAGTGAAGGGAAATGTTGGGAAAACGGGAGAAGTTACTCCATTTTTTAAGCTTCCGTCGCGTGTGCAGCCTTAATGGTTAAAGTTACATAGAAATCATGTATGACGGAAATATTTTACATAAAATTGTCTAAAAAGTATCCCTCAACAGCATATGTCTATCCTTTATGGTTGACTCACAATAACACGTGTAACTTCTGATAGCTTAGCAGTTCGGAGCATTCTGATTATATTTGTTTACTCTTACGCTTATAATACTCTCACTCATCCCTAATTTAAAAAAGTTAACATTATTACCTATTCAATAAAAAGAGAATCATAGAAATCGGTATAGAAACACCAAACTTATACATGAAATAAGCCATTGCGCCGTCGCACGTGAATACTGAATCATGCTATAAGGATTATTTTTGTGTAACGGTTGCCGCGCTCGACACGGGTAGCGGCGGCGGTAGGGTATAAAAAGGCGGGAGGTCCAAAAGCGAGCTTCCCCCCCCCCCCCCCCCCTGATCCTGAGAGACCTTCAGTCGCTCTGTCCCAAACCGATACGGATGCACATCAGAGTGCATCATCCCCTTCTCAGGGGTTGATCGCATCAGATGAAGCCTGTATGGCCCCTAAGGCCATAGGCATCCCCCACGGGTGTGTTTTAGTCAGTAAGAGTCTGACATAACCCTACAGACGGCTGTAGGGTATCCATGAGGATTTCACACCCGCTCGCCCGCCTGAGAGGAAACAAAAAAAAAGAAAGCGAGCTTCATTCAATATTTGGCTGTTGATGCGTTCAGAGCGTTCGACCTTATTGAAAGACAATAATTGATATTAAGAAACCGTGCTTATCTATATACTTATAATAAATCTGTAGAGATGTCAATTCTGTACATGAAATATATTTTTAAAATAACTATCAGGGGGTGATTAGTGATCGATACTGATGCCAAAAATGCAATCAGTAAAATTTTTGTCTGTCTGTCTGTCTGTCTGTGTGTTTGTTCCTTATAGAAACAAAAACTACTCGACGGATTTTAACGAAACTTGGTACAATTATTCTTCATACTCCTGGGCAGGTTATAGTATACTTTTCATCACGCTACAATCAGTAGGAGCAGAGTAGTGAAGGGAAATGTTGGGAAAACGGGAGAAGTTACCCCATTTTTTAAGCTTCCGTCGCGTGTGCAGCCTTAATGATTAAAGTTACATAGAAATCATGTATGACGGAAATATTTTACATAAAATTGTCTAAAAAATATCCCGCAACAGCATATGTCTATCTTTTATGGTTGACTCACAATAACACGTGTAACTCCCGATAGCTTAGCAGTTTACTCTTACGTTTATAATACTCGGTATAGAAACACCAAACTTATATATGAAATAAGCCATCGCGCCGTCACACGTGAATACTGAATCATGCTATAAGGATTATTTTTGTGTAACGGTTGCCGCGCTCGACAAGGGTCGCGGCAGCGGTAGGGTATCAAAGGTCCGAGAGCGAGCTGTCTAAATCTGTTTTCTGCGTCGCTCCCCCCCTGGGGGACGATCGCTTCCGATGAAGCCTTAGAGGCCTTCCCGTCCAGAGGCAGCCCCTACGGGTGTTTTTTAGTCAGTACGAGTCTGACATAACCTTGCAGCCGGCTGTAGGGTATCCATGAGGATTTCTCATCTGCTCCCCCGCCTGGGAGACCGAAACCGTGCTTATCAGCGCGACTTTTAGTCTTTAAATAGTTTATTTGAATTTCTTTTGTTGTTATTTTGTAAAACAGGTATTAGTTGTTTTGGTAGTGTTTAAATATTCGTTCAAATTAAAAATTATTAAGCGTAGGTACTTTTATTAATTAAAGTAGTTATAAGTATTTATTTTTAAGTGAAGGAGGTATAGGTAGATAGTATTGCACAGGCGTTTCAGCTTTATTTTCATTTCTTTTTTGTTGTGAGTTGTATATATTTCTGGTTATAATTCTATAAGAATATTTTAGTTCAAATAGTCACTTAGATTTTATGTGTAAGGTAGCTAAAGTTAGGACCACGTATTATTTGTTTTGGTAGTGTTTAAATATTCGTTCAAAGTGTAATTTAATCATATAGGATGAATGTACGATGGCCAATCGAAAAGGAGTAGAAGCGGTAGACA